CCCCAAAACCCCAAAACCCCAAAACCCCAAAACCCCAAAACCCCATGATGAGTGAACTAATTGGGCCAAAGATGATCCTAAATTATATAATTATTATTCATTGGAAATAATATGAAGAAAAGTAGTTCCAATAGCTCCTCATCTGAAAGAGAGACTTCTGGATCCCTCAAAATTCTAGACCAAAAGTACTCTATAATAAGGAATTTAGGAGGCACGGTTAATACTAAGGCTCACTTGGTGAAGGATATTATTACCTCGGACATTTTGGCAATCAAAATTGCTCAGAAAGAGGAGAAGGATGAACTGGAGAGAGAATATGACTTCCTCACTTCTTTCGACCACCCTAATATTATTAAACCCTTCATCTATGTCTCAGAAGGTGCCCTAGTCTCGGAGGATGAGAACAAATTGCTTTCTTACAAAACTGAAGATGAAGAGTATTTCGACTCAAAGGAATGAGCTTATTTCACTCTTAAGTTCTATGAGAATGGCGACTTGTTCGAGAACATCTCAAGAGGAGGACCTGTCCATGAAGGAATGGCTAGATATTATTTCCTCCAACTTGTCAATGCAGTCGAATATCTTCATCTCAGAAATGTTGCACATCGTGACATAAAGCTTGACAATATTCTCCTAGACGACAACTTCCAAGCTATGCTAATAGATTTCGGATTTTCGGAAGAATGAAGACTAAAAGTCGGTGATAAGCTCGATGATTGAGAGCGTGCAAATATTAGGGGTACCAAAGGATATATCTCTCCAGAACAATTATATGCAGACGGTAATGATCTCATATGCTTCAAATAAATGTGACATTTTTGCTCTTGGAGTTGTACTTTTTATTCTGCTGAAGGGAGTACGTCCTTTCGAATCCCCTACAAGAGATGATGAAAAATATCAGTATCTTATCTTGAAGAAAAATAGTTATTTTTGGAAGATGCATCAGATGAAAAGACGAGAGTTCTCAAATAAAGTATACAGCATCTTGTCTCACGAAGTAAAATCTTTAGTGTGAGATCTCTTAAACCCCGATCCGAATAAGAGACCAGACATTAGTGAGATTAAGGAACATCCATGGTTCGCCAAGAAAGAAGTCCTTTCTGACGAAGAGATTAAGAAATTGATGTCGGATAGGATACTTAACTAAACCGTATTTCAAACCCTAGCTTATTTCTACATTTTCAAATTCAATAGGCTTCGCGAAGGTAGGGGTTTTGGGGTTTTGGGGTTTTGGGGTTTTGGGG